GATATGTCGAGGCACGAAAGGCGGCAGCCACAGCAGTGGCAAAAGCCAAAGCTGATTGCTGAGAGAAGTTCGGTGAGGTGTTGCAGTCGAACTTCCACAGGGCAAACAAAGCATTCTGGCAGACCATCCGCCAGCCCTAAGTTGAAAAGAAGGGCAGTCTCAGAGTCTTGAAGGACAGATCTGGACACCGCTTAACCAAGGATGATGACATTCTTCGGCGATGGACGGAGTACTTTGAGGAACTCCTTAACCCCGCGGAACAGCAGGAAGACTCGCCTGTAGAGCAGAAGGATACGGGTATTATCATCTCCGTAGATGAAATTGCACAAGCTATGAAAAGCTTGAAAAATGAAAAAGCTGCTGAAATTGACGAAATCCATCCTGAGATGCTCAAGGCATTAGGCGAATCAGGCATGTGCTGGCTAACAGGTGTCTGTCAAACTGCGATGACTGCGGGAAAGACACCAGCGGACGGGAGAAAAGGAGTTATTCTACCCGTATTCAGGAAGGGAGACCACAAGGAATGCTCTAATTATAGGGGCATAATGTTATTGAGCATGCCAGGGAAAGTCTACGCAAAGGTGTTAAAAAGGAGGTGCCGTGAAATAATTGACCTCAAGATCCAAGAAGAGCAGTGTGGCTTCCGGCCCGGCTTCCGAAACACCTCCGACCATATATTTGCCCTGTGCCAGATTGATCAGAAATCGTGGGAGTACGCCCATCCGGTGTACATGTATTTCGTGGACCTAGAAAAAGCCTATGACCGGATCCTACGCAACAGTCTGTGGATATGCCTTCGTGCATAGCTGCTAAGGGCTATCCAATCACTGTATTCTGATAGCAGAAGCTGCGTCAGAGTTAATGGCGTTAAGTCGAAACCATTCAACGTTCGCACTGGTCTCCACCAAGGCTGCGTCCTGTCCCTATCCTGTTTGTGTTGTACATGGATAGAACAGTCAGGAGCTGCCAAGGCGATGAGGGTATCAGAATAGGAGATGTGAAGTCGAAAAGGTTGCTGTTTGCAGACGACCTTGTCTTATTAGCATCTTCTGAAACTGATCTTCAGTGCTCCTTAGAA